TATGGGGAAACGTAGGTAGAACCCATCGCCATGAGCTTGAACTCTGTTGAGGTTTTATATGTTGAAGAAAATAAAGATTGATAATTAAATTAGAAGAATTTTAATTTACATGTGAGCTCAACACAGTCGATGCATGTCACGCCTCCTAGTAGTTTAGATTAGTTTAAATAGATTATCGCTTGTATTAATTTTATAGAGATAAAATCAATTACATGCTTGGAACTTTATTTATTTTTCCAGTCGTTGATTCGTCATAATGATTACAACTTTGCTTCTCCATATTCTTGGTGTATGTAGAAATGTATTCTGTGACTTTAAAAAATTATATGAATTTTTTTTTCAATATTTTAGGAGGGCAAAGTGCAGATATTATATTGCATTGGTATACTGTATATGAGTTACTTGCCTCTTGACAATGTTGAAAGATTTTAATATAATTATCAATGAACCTTATATTCTAGATCTAGGATAATGTTTTACTTTACTAAAAACAACATAAATATTCTTTTCAGGATTTATTCACGGTTGGAACAGACACAAATGCAATTGCACTAGAGTGGGCATTGGCAGAGCTCAACCAACCATCCAAGAGTGCTCAAGAAAGCAAGGGAGGAGATTGATCGAGCAGTCGGAAATCGACGAGTAGTCGGAGAATCGGATGTTCCAAATCTTCCATACATCCAAGCCATCATAAAAGAAACATTTAGACTACACCCAACAGTGCCTTTGGTCATAAGAAAATGTGTACAACAATGTAAGATTGGGGGATATGACATCCCTACAAACACAATGCTATATGTGAATGTTTGGGCCATTGGAAGGGACCCAAAGAATTGGGAAAGCCCACTAGACTTCTGGCCTGAAAGATTCTTGCAACTCGGTGAGGACGATGGCCAGATAAATGCAGTGAATGTTGATGTTAGGGGCCAACATTTTCAACTCATGCCATTTGGGTATGGGAGGAGGAAGTGTCCTGGTATGAACATGACCATGAAAATGTTGCCTGGGGTACTTGCGGCTTTGATTCAGTGCTTCGATTGGAAGGTTGATGGGTCTGATTGCAAGAAGATGAATGGTGATGATGTTCTTGAAATGGATGAACGGCCGGGATTTACTGCTCCAAGGGCGCATGATCTTGTGTGTGTTCCTGTTGTTCGCTTCAGCCCACTCAACATCCTTGACCCATAAGGCAAACTTTTTTATTTATATGTTGGTCAAAAACATATTCTGAAAGTTTGTTGTGTGTGTTGTAGTAATACCCGTAAAGGGAAAATAACTTTAATGTATCTTTATATTTTACAGCTTTATGAGAAAGAAATGCTTTTGTTTTCCTTAGTTCTAATGGGAAAAAATAGTAAATGATAAGGCTAACAAAGTAATGCTTATTTTGATATTATGTGGCAAGGAGATTTTGAGGTTAGAGTTTAATGTTAATGATCATTGGTTTAGGGTATGTTGTACAGACATTGACTTATGTTTCATTTGAGAGAGAGAGAGAGAGAGAGTTTTTTTTAAAAAGGCATGCATCTTTGTATGGTGTTAAGAATATGAGATAATTTTTAAAATATATTTTGTAAAATTATAGAATTACCCTCCTTAACGGGTGAATGCGAATATTCGTGAATTGACCCGACACGACCCATTAGCTTAACGGGTGGCTAACGGGTGTTGAGGCCCAAAAAATTCAGGGTTGGGCCCAAATAAATTCCCGGCCTAGTGCGACACCATATTAAGAAAAGACCAGGTTCGGAGCACGCGAAATTCGTCATGCACGCTTGCACGAGCCACGACCACGTGCCATGCCAAATAAATATGCAATCCGCCACGCTATAGCCTATAAAATGCACTGGCTCTACGAGCCCAAGCTAATTATCCAGTCAAGCATCATATCCCTTTTCAAAGACGATAAAATTAAAGCACGCCAATCGACATGCTATGCCAAGCAGGAAATCATTGTTTCACACTCAACCACGCTACAAGCTTAAGTGGGTCCAAGCCACACAAATGCCTGGATTGACCCGACACGACCCATTAGCTTAACGGGTGGCTAACGGGTGTTGAGGCCCAAAAAATTCAGGGTTGGGCCCAAATAAATTTCGGGCTTAGTGCGACACCATATTAAGAAAAGACCAGGTTCAGAGCACGCGAAATTCGTCATGCACGCTTGCACGAGCCACGACCACGTGCCATGCCAAATAAATATGCAATCCGCCACGCTATAGCCTATAAAATGCACTGGCTCTACGAGCCCAAGCTAATTATCCAGTCAAGCATCATATCCCTTTTCAAAGATGATAAAATTAAAGCACGCCAATCGACATGCTATGCCAAGCAGGAAATCATTATTTCACACTCAACCACGCTACAAGCTTAAGTGGGTCCAAGCCACACAAATGCCCGAGGCTTGCTGAGTGGGTTGTGGCATGGATGGTAACGAACTTTCATGAGGCCCATTGATGAGCCAAGAAACGGAAGTTTTGGGCCGCTTGGGAGCCCCGAAACTCAAGCCCGTTTCTTGAGCCCAAATATATGGGTAAGTATAAAAGAGAGGAAAAGGGAGCCCAATACCCTAGGAAATTAGCCTATCAACATAAATAAAATAGCCCATCATTCAAGCCCATTCCCTTGGTAGGCTAACCAATCACTTTAGCAAAAGCCCAAGCAGCTAAGAAAGTATCCATAGTCTCCAGCACTTAGCTGGAAACGTAAACCACGATGAAAGCCAAAAGTGTTATGTCAGTGAGCTGCTGGAAGGCTCCAGCACATGGGCTAAGAACGAACACCAATGTGGAACACGCAAAAAACCAAGGGATATTAGCACACGTAGGAGCCAAGGCACCCTTCAAACCAGTGTACATACCCATTTCTTTCCCCTAATCAGATCTAGCCATGGAAGAGGGGAGAAAAGAATGAAAGATGGCTGAAAATGGGAGTCAGCCACTGAAACAACTGCAGGAAAAGCCTAGAGCTCCCCAAACCCTGTTTTTGTGCGATTGGGTAGAGAGAATTTCACCAAATAGGATGATTCAAAGGAAGAGAAGAGAAAGGGAGGGAGAGATTTGGTGGATTGGGGAGGAACCATCTAGGGTTTCTTGGGAAGAAGGAGCTTCCAGCGCTTATAAAAAGAGGCATTTCCTACCCATCATCTCAACACACATTCAGAGAGCAAGCTTCATCTCTCACCCTGAAATCTCTGCAATTTTGAGCCCTATTGCTCCATCTCCTCCCCTTTTCCTCTTCTGTTAAAGCATTTCAGAGCTTGACAGAGTTTTCATCAAGTTGTCGGAAACTACTCAATACACTCATTATATCCCCATCTCTCTCTCTCTCTTCAACAAATCCTCTTAGAATCCATTCCCCCTTGTCTTAAAACCCCTGTTTCTCATAGGAATTCACAGCCCTCTCTCTATTTATGCTAAACTCATGATGGTTTTGCTCCTATGCCACAAGCTTCTCATGTCAAGCTAAGAATCTACTTGTAAGCCATCGTTATTCTGTTGGTGAAGATAACCAGGGTGTTTCCTAAGGTTCTATTATCCTTTCGAAACATTCTTGGGGCCTAGTCCTTGAACTCGGACACAGGGGGTAATTTCACCCATTTTCGCTCTTTACGGCAGCCCAGCCCATATGAAGCTGTCAGAACGAAAAAGA